TATATATATATATATATTATATATTATAGATATAATTCTGTTTGAATCCAATACAATAAAAGATTTTATAAATAATAAAACAAATTTTTATGTATTAAATTAATATAATTACATATTTAAAATTCGAGAATATTAATAGTTTTTCTTAAAATAGTTGTAATTATAGAATTTGTCGGAATAATCTGTTTTGGGCTTGGATGGGCATTATGTCATGTGGATTGGCAAATATATATAACAAGGGGACATTTATTTTTATGGTAGTGTCATGCCATAAGAAACTTATGCTCGAACCAGAGATGTAAAACCTTCTTAATTATTGCATAACTCACAAATTATATAACTATTCTAAGAAAGAAAGGTGGTAAGTCATAACTGTAACATTATCTCGTGCATCGCATGAGTTTATAATTGAGATATTGAAATATACAAATTTAAAAAATATCTAAGGAAAATTGATTTGTTGATAATAAAAAAACTTTAAAAAGTATAAGTTTTTAAAACATTTTATATTAAATAAAGTGATAATTATATTAAAGACCCAAGAAAAAATAATTTAATTATAATTTCTCTATAAATTATAATGAGTTGCGTTATTGTTTAAAAATAATAATACAATCATTCTTTATAATACGCCATTCTCTAAAGCTGGAGTCAATAAGACAGATGGGATTTTGATTTACTCTATATTATTTTATAGATTTAATATTTTATGAAAATATAAAACTTGATTATAGTGTGTTAGTAGACTTTGATTATCACAAAAAGTAATGTGACATTTACCATCAGTTTAATTATGCATTATTTTTAAGTAATTTATATTATTATTGGACTAATCCATTAGAATAATTTAATAAACTATTACATTTAAAAATTTACTTTCCTTTTATTGCAAAAAAATATAATTTTAAGGAAAATAAAATTTTACTCATCACTCAATAAAGATGTAGCATTCAGTGTAACTGATACGAAAAAAGTAACATTTAAACTTGAAAGTACCTGGTTGTAAAAGTTATTAGATGAAATAAATAACATTTAGAGATAAGAGATAAATAAAACTAAAAAAGAAGTGACTTTTGAATGGAAGTAGCATGGTTATTAACTTATGATTCAAGGCTTGGTTGGGCCTATCTGGGCCTGAGAGAGACAAATCATGTTTGGGCCCTTTCAACTTGCGGAAGAGGCTATGACCATTCATGCTGTGACATATTGTTCAGGAAAGTGTGTTTATATTGTTTAACAAATTTATAATATCATAAACTAATTTTAATGCTCATCTTCGATAATGATTTACTACTACGAGTGAATATATTAGTGTTTTTTTCCCTCATTCAATAACTGTTTTGACTCTTAAAACTATTTTAATTTAGATTCAGATCTGGCATTGGGAATTGAGTCTCCACTATCATTCTATCACGGCACACAAGTCGCCAAATCCTAAAAATTTGGATTATTTCCATGAATTTTATATCCAAATTTAATTATCCTCGTAATAAATAAATATTAAAAAAATTAAGTATTTTTTTCTTCAAATTTTTACTTTTAATTATTGAATAAATTTTATTTAATTTTAGACTATAAAATCTTCTTTATCAATAAAAATTTTGACGTCAAAAATAAAAAATGCTAACATAAAAAAATCATATTTAAAAAGAGTATGTAATAAAATAAGTGGCGCGAAAAGAAAAAAAAAATTAGCAAGAATAATATTATTTATATATTAGTTATTACTTGTGTAAAACTAATAATTTTTTTTTTACTAATAAGTCAATTGTTCGATTGAGACTTAAACTCAATCATTTTAAATAGAATATCATATTTAAATAATGTAGATAAAAAATAATATGACAAAGAGGAGAGATTCTATTAAAAAGAATAGTTAACATATATTAATCATTGAGGAAATTGTTATACATTTTACTATTATACAAAAATAATTAATTAAGCATATTGTATGATGGTCCAACATCTTTTGGATGTGGAATTTTGCCCCATTAAGAGAGAACCTGAAATGAAGAAATAAAAAGTAAAGTGAAAAAACAGCGGAAAAGAAAAGGGAAAGCACGTTACGCGGCTGAAAGGGGATGTTAACCATTTAGAGTAAAGGAGAGCATAACTTTGTGTACACCACTTTCTTCTATTAAATTCAAAAGCAACCTCACATACCCCTTTTTTGACTACATAAGTCAAAAAGAAAACCTATCTTATATCAATGCAAAATTATTTTTCACAATAAAATCTTTTTTTTTTTAATTTAAGAGTGTATTTTTGACATGTGTAAAAAAATGTACAAATAAAATATAGAGTTAAACAATGAAGTATCAATAATATAAAATAGTTTTATAATAATTATTTTAAAAGTTACATAAATTATGAATTTTGATTAATTGGTTGTGTCAATTTTTTTTAATAATAACAGTGTATCATTATTAAATTAGGAAAAGTATATGAAAAATTAAAGATACTATCTTATGTAATTTTTTAATGGTCAAATTAATAGCATAATAAATACATATTTTGGACAATGATGGTTTACCATAGAGACAAAAGGAAGTTGATAATTAGGGACCTTAGGAGGTGATCCACAAAATCGGTCCCACTAAGAACAAAAGAACAAAACGCAATGTTGATCCCCTATAATAATAGTAAGTGTAAAGTGTTATTTAAATTTATTCCATTCAAATAGTTAAGAAACAAAATATGATTTTTAATAAATATAATATTTAGTGTTATTTAAATTTTGTTCAATCCAACAGTAATGATAGTCAACTGTCAAGGTTCTATTTTCAGAAGGGTACCAAAAAAATAGCCTATATAATATATTAAAATAAAATTAACATAATTAAATTAGAAAGATATTCTGAAAATAAAGTAATTAGGAATAATCAATTAATTGTTAGAGAATGTTATAACTTATCAACAAAGATCTTTTTATAATTTTGGAAAATTCTATCCATAATAGGAAAATATAAATCAATAATATAAGATGTATAGAGAAAATATGATATATTCTTAATTTATTTATTTTATATCTTTTAACGTGAAACTTTTTGATAAATAAAAATTGTCTTAAATTTACTATCTTTTATTTTATTTCAAAATTTTCTAATTTTCTAAATTATAGTCTCTTTTACTTTGTTGAAATCTTGAAATCAAACTACCATTAAAGACTTTTTTTCTTATTACATAATGGTCTCCAAAAAGAACTAATAACCTCATACAGTATGTTTAATCAATTTTTTTACAGACAAGTGTGTTTTTAGTTAATTGTTGTTTACACTTTTGAGTTTAAGAATTATAGTCATGTGATACTTAAATAATCATGAGCAAATCATTTTTTTTTTCAATTCATGTAAATCAACGAAATAAAATACTCAAGGTCGACTCTGCTTATCGTTTTGAAAAATTTGATTAATCATTTTTTATGAAATTTTTTGTTCTAATAATATTTTATTTATTTATTTAATAAGTTCAATGGGAGACGTTAGTCAAATGATTAAAATCAAGAGCCACGCATGCCAACAGTAAGCATAACCTGTTTTGTTAATTAAATATTAAGTTCAAAGCTGGATAATTAAATTATGTGAAATTATTTGTGTTTAAGTACGTGTGAATAGGCTGATTCACAAACTTTAAAAAGTACTACTATTTATTTTATACAAGGAAAAAGAAGAGAAGGTGCAACACTCCTTACCAACCCATCTAAGAAGAAGAGGGAATCCACAGCTGGAGAAGGAGAGTTCAAGATAAGCACTCTTGCTGAGTGAAAATGTCAATGAAACTTCTAAATTCTTTTTATTGTAGAAGCAGATAATTTAAATATTATATTACTTTTCATAAAATGAAAAAAATGGCTATTAATAATTTTGTTTTTTTATTTTATTAAAGTATAAATAAAGAGAATTTACAACTGATTTGAATGATTATTTTATTGGATACAGTGATATCTAAAGGTCAATGGTGCAATCACGCAAGAAGTGAAAGTGATTGATTGGACTATGCAGTGAGTGTCAGCAATAATTGACGGCTGAAACTCAAGACGACATTGCTTCATATGCTGTTTAGTTTCTGCTCTTTCACTTTCTCAACCACCCAACACAACACAACACACATTCCCTCCCTTTCTTCTAATCTAATTAGAACAAACACAACAAACACCCTTTCAGTTGCCAAACCAAATACCATGTTCCATTTTCGCAGGATTTGTACCCCAAAAACGTTAATAGGCCTTGGCTTGGGACAGTTTCTTTCTCTTCTCATAACTTCCACCGCTTTCACTTCTTCTGAATTGGCTAAAAAAGGTTTCATCTATCTCCTCTTTTGGTTTCATAATTCTATATGCAACTATTGTTATTTTGACTCATTATAAGTGCTGGCCAATTTCTCAGATTGCAAGTGTGCCTTTTGATTTATACTTTTATAGATTTGGCTGCTAAGTTTCATAGTAGTATTTTTGTACCTCCTTGTGTGTTTTTGGACCAACCTCTACATGCTTATTAATGACTCAGACGATTTTTCATTCTTTTTCTTTCATTATCGTAGGAATTAATGCTCCAACTTCACAGTCGTTTCTGAACTATGTGTTCTTGGCGGTTGTCTATGGAAGTACTCTCCTATACCGAAGGGAAACACTCAAGGTTGTACTATATAGTTGCTTCACATATTTGTGCTCATGAATTATGATGCTACTTATTGTCAATAGGATTTTTATTATATGCAAAATATGATGAAAAGTTACTCTTTTTTTTTTTTTTTTAAGATTAATTTCGTTATTGGACTGAAAGAGATTGGTGGCTAGAATATTTCCTCAGTTTCTGTAATATCACTGTATTTTATTAAACTTCTGATGCCTCTTTGGCATTGTAAAACTGGTGCTGTTCATTGAATGAATGAACGAATATCAGTTGAGATTGACAGACTGTTCTCCAGATGGAAAGAAAAGATTCTTTAGATGCCTTATTGGGAAAAATCCAAGTCCCACATCGACTAGAGATTAGGCAATTAAATAGTATATAAGTGGAAAGCAACCCTCACCATACAAGCCGGTTTTGTAGGGTTGAGTTAGGCTTAATCCACTATTCTAAGATGGTATCAGAGCTATCCTAGATTCTTAAAAATGGGCCACCCACCATTCATTGTTACATGCACCATGGGCATGAGGGGTGTATTTCAAGTCCCGCCAATCCTAGATCATTGAAAAAGGGCCACCTACCATTTATCCACGTACCAAGCCTAATAGTGCTGGACGTGAGGGGGGTGTATTGGGAAAAACCCAAGTCCCACATCGACTAGAGATTAGGCAATTAAATAGTATATAAGTGGAAAGCAACCCTCACCATACAAGCCGGTTTTGTAGGGTTGAGTTAGGCTTAATCCACTATTCTAAGATGCCTGGATAAGATTCTAATGTTAGATGCGCCAAATATTTAACCAATCTGCAAATTTTTACAATATTTTTGGGTTGGGTAGCAATTCATAAAAGTTTGTAATGCATTTTTATATTGACCTTTTGCTTCCTTTTTTTTTTTTTTTTTTTTTTCCAGCAAAAGTGTTGATATTCTTTTGTTTCTACTTTAAGGAGAGAGTGTGAGAGTGCTTCCTTTCACAAAGATCATCTGTTCTATTTTTTCTCTGTTTCCATCGCAACTAAAACATTTAATGTCAGCTTCACTCACTTCATTTGGTTCTAACACAGGCAAAATGGTACTATTATATAGTTCTCGGATTGGTTGATGTAGAAGCAAATTTTCTTGGTAAGTGTTTCATGATGCTGGAGACATAGTATTACATATAGAAAACATTGGTGCAATTAATATATTTATACACGGTCTGCTCAAACATTCATAGGTCAGAGCACAATTAAAGTATAATGACTAACCTATATGTCCCAAATTTAAATTACTCGAGTGTGAACTTTCCTTGTATATTTATTGGACTCTTAGTATTAAAATGAAGCAAGTCATATGTTTACTTGCAATTATATCTAAACTAATTCTTATCTACTGAACAGTTGTGAAGGCGTACCAATACACCTCACTTACAAGTGTGATGCTGCTTGACTGCTGGTCAATCCCATCCGTTATGCTTCTTACATGGCTTTTCTTGAAAACAAAATATAGGTTCAAAAAGATTACTGGTGTAGTTGTTTGTGTTGCTGGCCTTGTCCTGGTTGTGTTTTCTGACGTCCATGCAGGTGACCGTGCAGGTAGGGGACTTTTTATGTACTGCATACTGCCTGGGATCAATATCTTTTATTTTTTACTTGCACACATATATACACCCACTCAAGCACCATGTGTTACATCCATAGTGCATTTTTATCCTATTTTTAATATCATCCATAACATGCACAATTCCATTTATGGTAGTTTTCTGATGTCATGTTCACTTGTTATAGGTGGAAGCAATCCTCGTAAAGGGGACATTCTTGTTATCGCTGGTGCTACCTTGTATGCAATCAGTAATGTCAGTGAGGTAAGCTGATTATACTTCTGCTTTAAAGTATTTTGCAGCACTCTTGCAGTTGATAGCGTGGCACAACACAATAAATACATATGATATACTCACTAATTACTATTCAAACATTGCACTTTCTGTCCTAAATGTAAATTGATTAAATTCTTATTAGGTTAGTATTTCACAGTTTGCTTTCCACTAGTTTGGGCTAGTGCCTGCTTAACTAACTGCTTACATTGGTGTTTCGTTATGTGTAATCTTCCTTTTGTTGCTGTTATTTCTTTTGCATTGCAGGAATTTCTGGTGAAAAATGCTGATAGAGTAGAGCTCATGGCAATGTTGGGTCTCTCTGGTGGCATTATCAGTGCTATTCAAATGTATCCTTCAAAATTCAAATTGTTCTTATTATGAGGAACATGGGATCTTTCTGTTTTGAATCTTTTCCCTAGCTTACTTATGTCTGAATATTTACCACAAGGCTCTCCAATTAAATTTGCACAGAGGAATCTATTTGGCAGCAGGCGCCACTTGCCAAGGCTCAAACATTCATAGCTTAAGCATCTAATTTCAATCTTTGTGCCAAATAATATTGGTTTGCTCAATGGTTAACAAATTGTTCTGTGTCATAATCATGTTGTACCAAGGGTTTTGATTTGGGAATTTACTTCGAAATGTTAAATTGATTGAGGAGTTGTTACAGGTGAACGAAATGCAATTTTAATTAATAACTTATTTTTTGAGTGTGGTGAGATTTTTTTTTTTGTTGAATGAAGAAATAGTGATTTTTATATGTAGTTACATTAATTTAGTCAAGGAAAAACAAAAACTTATGCCCATTGATTAGAATTATTACATTTCTTTTTCCTGTTGTATCCTTAATAATTATTACAGAAGCATACTTGAGCGCAATGAACTTAAATCGATTCATTGGTCGGCTGAGGCAGTAAGCTCTCTTTATCACTCTCTACTATGATTGATTAAGTGACAGAATTCACTTTTACTAAGATGCCTGCATTGCAAGGCTAGAAGTTTATGTGAAACATATATGATATACCTTTAGTCGACATTTTTCTGTAGATTTAAGATGGATAGTTATTTGTGTTCCCTTCCTCTTTGCCCCTCAAGAACGAAGTCAGTGCTTATAATTGTGATTACATACAGAAAGATGTGAATTTAATAATGTTGGACTATTATAATATCTGCCTGATATCAAGTCATATATGTTTTCACAACATGTCAATTAGTGCGATGTGAGACCTGTAACCATTATTGTTTATATTAATTTCTTTCAATGTTGGTTTCAGGCGCTTCCTTTCGTTGGATTTGCAGTGGCCATGTTTATGTTCTACTCTTTAGTCCCTGTTCTGCTTAAGGTGTGGATTCAAACCATAGCAATTCTGAATATATTTTTTAAGAAATTATATTCGATATTGAATAAAATGATTGAATAAATGGACCAAAAATAAAATAGATGGAACTAATCAAAATAATTGGGTAAAAAGACTCTAGGATGCAGTCCTTTGGTTTTAATCTCTCTCTCTGAATGTTTATCATTTTGGACACTGATGTTTATTTCTGGACCCAAACAATTTAATAATTGTGTGGCACTGAAAAATTTATCACGATCACCCATTGAAGTTCTTGAAATTCTTTCCTAGCACTGGAGAAATTTAACTTATTCTATAGTCTATAAATGTCCAACCGGCAATAGCATCTTTATCTTTCTCATGCCACTCTTAAAACATTTTTAGTATAGTTTAGCTTAACAATAGAGACGTATGATAATATCCATTATCCACTATCCAGCTTTCGCTTAGATGTAGTATTTTTAAATGTGCTGTGTTCTTTTGTCACAGATCAATGGTTCTACCATGCTAAATCTGTCTCTGTTGACCTCAGACATGTGGGCTGTCTTAATTCGCATTTTTGCTTACCATGAGAAGGTCTGATACTAATGTTGCATCCTTTTATTTTTTTCCCTCATAGAATTTCCTGCTAGGTGCTAACATCTCTAGGGCTAATTATGCTTTCCAGGTTGATTGGATGTACTTTGTGGCCTTTGGTGCCGTAACCGTTGGACTTATCATCTATTCTGGGTATGTATTGTTGCACTTTCTTCACATATAATTGATGAGTAATGTTATATGTACAACACCACTTTTGTGACTATTTTTCTCTCCATCATTTATAATATTTCTCCATAATTAATAAGTGATGGAGAGAGATGACATTGTACAATTTTTGTTATACATGTAGTATTACTCAATTAATATTTGGAATAAACTTATGTACAACACCATGTGTACTGTTATTGTTGTTTTTCAATCAAAATTGGAGTTCTACCTCGTTAATATGCATGAATGTATATTATTAAGCCTACATTTAATATAAATGCATATTATCAAGATAAAACATTAATTTTGATGAGAGATGGTGATGGTATTGTATTTGAGTTTTATCTTTGATATTTTGTTGGGATGTTGTTTCATGAATTTTCTAAAATTGAATGATTTCTAAATTCATTTATTTGATTCTAGCATCAGTAGCATGTTAAATTGAGTACTCCTATCAATGAGCATGAATCCCATTTAAATCAGAAGCATGTGTATCCTTTAATATTTCTAATAGACTATGGTGTTTCTTTTTATTGCAGAGGGGACAGAGATGAGGATCAGCACCCTCCAAATGCTGCTGATGATCTTCACCCTGCAGTCAAACAAGATGAGGAAGCCAATTCAGGAAATCATAGCAAAGGAACTGTGGCTGGAAGCTCAAAAACATGGGTAGCTTAGTATAGACCTACAGGCTCATACACCAAAAACCAAGAGGAAGAGTCTCCATCAAGAAAATGGAGACTCTTCTAAATTTATTTTGTATTGGTAGCTCCTCCAAGAGCAAGAGGAAAAAGTTCCTTCAGATGCTACTCTTGTTCACACGTCTTGTAATTTAAAGGATGCTCTAATTTTCGTTAGATGGAGTTTTGAGAAACTCTTCATTATGTAGAGATCAATAGGCAGTTTTTTAGCCAGTGTGTTGCTAATTTTATGTTATTTGCCGAAAGAAAAATAATCTAAAGAAATAGAAAACTTTTGGAGACAATTTAGTAGTAATTCTATGTCCTCAATTAAGGTTGCCTTCGATTATTGGAAACTGTGAACTGAACAAAGAATGAAGAGAAATGGATGGAAATATGCGGGCTTTCTTTTTTCATGTTTGGATGGGCGAAAGAAAAAGAAATGGAAAAACAATTACACAACTATAAAAAAAAATCCCTGAACATTTGATCTATAATAAGGTAAAAGAATAGGAAAGTATGAAGATATAATAGAAATTCCTGAAAATACAGTGGCGGATATAGTTGTTTGTATATAACAAGGGTGGGTTTGTTGTTTAACTTTTGAAAAGAAAAAAAAATAATATATATATTTTTTTTTTATCTTTTATATTATTTATTAGTGTCAATTTAATTTAATTTTAATTAATTTTAATTTTATATTTTTAAAATTTATCTTGATCTTTGCACTTTTTTCGTTTAAATACTTAACAGATCTGACACGTGTTATGATACGACATGACACGTGTTATGATATTGAGATACATTTTAAAGATATGAAATTAAATTAATTCAATTAATTAAAATTATACTAAATTGACACTAATAAATAATATAAGAGATGAAAATATTTTTACCTTAATTATTTATATCGAAAGAGATATAATTAATTAAGTAAAGTAAAGGGCATGCGTCCCACGCGAAAGGTGTGGTATATATTATCCTTCATCCTTGGGTAAGGAGAATGTGTGCATAGTGAAGTAAAGGAAGATGGAGAAAGTGAAGGTGCTCCGGCGACTATTGGAGACTCCGGGGGTTCACCAGGGCCCTGCATGTTACGACGCTCTCGGCGCCAAGCTCATAGAAGACGCCGGCTTCCCTTACTGCATCACCAGTGGCTTCTCCATTGCCGCTTCCAGGTTGGCTCTTCCCGACACTGGACTCCTCTCCTACGCCGAAATGCTCGATCAGGGCCGACTCATCACCC